ACTTCCAGGGTCCAATTGGGGTGAGGGGCTTTCTAAAGCCTCTATGCCCACCCCCTTTGATTTGCCACTGGTAGTTTAACAGCTGTTACTTTGTGTGAATGTTGAGCCACAGTCAGAATGTAAACAAGAGACTAAGCAGTTCACTTGGTCTATGTAAATGATGATTAGTGGTATTATATGATAGTTGGCAAAACAGTTTTTTTACTTTGCTGCATCACTGGTCCATGGTCTGTGAGTACTGTGAACCAAGTGATACCCGCTCTAGATGTGTAATATTAAAATGTACCCTGGTCCGTTCCGTGACAATGATCTCAGCATCGCATATATGTGGCAATCGGTAGCGAGCGTGTTGAAAGGAAGACATGATGAGCGTTATTTCACACTCGTTTTAACGGATCAGACTATGATACAAAAATAATCAGATTACCAAGGCACTATTGGCTGTTATTTTGTGATGCATGCTGTAAGCAGGAAAACACAGTGAACAGTTTCACAGAGTACTTACGATATATTATCGCATGAAATGTTTGTTTGATATAAATATGTAGGCCTATTCAAATATTTCATTCAACGTTATAGTTTTTTCTGTTGTTATTATCGGTATATCTATAAAAGCCCTGCCACTCTGCTGCATATAGGTTAGGTTAGTTAGAATCATTTTAGTTTATGATAATGAAAAAATATCATTTTTTAAATTCAACCTTTTTCATAAGTAGGGACCTAGTCTTTAAAAAGAAGGTAGTTATTACTGTACCATGAACTAAACCTAGCGAAACTCAACTAAGCTAACCAAATACCCGCAGAACAGTGTAAAAGTTTCTTCTTAAAAATAACCTAGAGGCCCTATGACCCAAAATGTTCATTTTAACATAGCTATTTTATACAACGTGAAACAATATATGTTACCCACATGACCATAATATTTTTTTTTGTAATACATGATGTTATGTATGTAGCCTACCCCTACCCAAGATGCGATTAGCGTTACTTTATGACCAGTCTAGCCTAACCTAAGGGTAAAAACACACATACAGCAACTGGGAACAGAGCGGAACGGCGCGATTTAGAGTGACAAAATCAAAACCAATACAATCAAGTAGTAACACGCACACAAACTGCTGTTGCGAGCATAGCGGAGCGAAACGGTTAACTTAGGAACAATCTCGTTTGTTTTTCTAGCATTTGGGAGCGGAGCGGGCAACGATTCTGTGGACATTTTTAGGTCCACTTTCGCCAGTAGGCTGCTCTGTATGCCCATTCCACCCTAACCAAAACTTACCCAGAGTGTTTCAGAACCTTCTCGAACCTTTTCTTTTTGAAAGAATGCATTCAAAGGTTGAGGTAGAATGGTATTGCATAAATCATGATTAATACTTCTTAACAACACGTCAGATGTGCGCCGCTACCACACGTCTGTTCCAAATGACGCCACATTATACGTTCCTAATCCAGTTACTTTTAAAACTGTTTAAAAAAAGATTGCCCTCAAAGAAAACCTAGTACCGTATAGGAACGGTAGTGCCTCTTAACCTCATTAGCCGAAATGGATGGAATCATCTTCACTTTATCTGCCCGCACCTATAATATTGATTATGAAATTAAATTGTTCTAAACTATTACATCTAACCTAATCAAACTTGCTGTAACATTTCAAAATACGGTTTGATAGTAGAATTCTGAAATTTAGGCTAACTGTTCTTAACTAACCTAACCTAACCAAACTGTGTGTGTAGCATTTCAAAAATTGGCCTTTTTGATAACAGAAATGGCTTTCGCGCTAAATTGACTGTTCTAGAACGTTTAATCCTTAACTTATTATGCGCGTCTTTTGCTTCAAAATAGACAAATTTTAAAGGAACCTCCATCTTCGCAGAAATTTAATGTGAGTGAGTAGTTAAGTAATTCATAATGGGGTCTAGAGTAACTGTTTTTTTTTCATTATTTTGCAATACTGGAACGGGAAGGGGTTGTGACGTAATTTTGACATGTGAATAGTCACTTTGTAATGTTTTAAGCCAAGTCTTTTGCCACGGCCACCTTTAACTTGTCTAGCGCCAAACATCGCAAAAGATAACATGGCAAACAGGTGACACCAGCTCATTAATTTGCATACTATCCATTTAAATTTAGATTTAAGAACATAAATGTATTCAAAGATTAAAAATAAAACATAGAGAATTGAAGACCAAAACAAGATTTAAAAATCAAAAATATATTTTTGTACATTTAAAAGGGGAGTCCATATTTTCATAGCCCAGTACCGGTAAGCAAGTTTTCATATTATTAACAAATACACAAATACTATTAGCTGCCTCAAAAAACAAAACAGCTGTTACAAGCCTACTTGCAATGTTGCCACTTCTAAGGCCGCGGCCTTTTTGCTGTGCTGCAAATTGCTGCAAACTTGCTTTGTGGTATCTTGGAAATGATCGAGCTCCCATTCGTGTCGCTCTCGCTTAAGTCGCTGCATGTGTCCGACATCAGTCGCTCACACTCTCGACGCTACAGCCCGCCTGCTCCGCTCTGAATTGCTGTATGTGTTTTTTTACCCTAAGACATATTAGGTATAGAAGCACAATTAATTGGACATAAGTTATCTAGATCCTAACATTTATAGGTACGGTACTACAATTCAAAATGGCCTTGATTTACGCAATATCGTAGCCTTAAATGGTATCTTCATTACGCAATTGGCTATTATTAAAAATTGAAAGGGCACACTGCATTGGAGTTGCTTATTTGGATAAACCCAAGCAAAAAATTGCCAACTACGACTTGGCTTATTTTCTAACTCTGTCGACTATTAGGCCCCTACAGGCCTAGGCCTAACTAAGTAAAATTAGGATGAAACATGTATTCATGGTGATACTCCAAAGTCAATTAAAAACCAAGAAGTACATGCCTAGGAGTAAAGTTTGGCAGAGAACCTGTGATGTATTAATATCATTTTAAATATAAATAAATTGAGGCCTGTATCGATTTTGATTCGGTTCGATACATAAGAAGCTATCGTTTCCACAATATAATTTTGTTATTTGAATGTGTGTCGAATTGAGCTAAATTATTGATTTTCAGTATATGAAATTATCAATACAATGCAAGCATTTTTGAAAAGGTAATTTGAAGTGTTTTTCTCAAGATTTTAATTTTACAAAAACAGTACTATGCAGGCGACATAAACTAACAACTCGATACATTATAACCTAAACTTTACCTTCCTAATCTAACCTAACTTCAAAACACTTAATGCAGTCACCAATTCGCATAAAGCACGACCTACCACCCTGACATGCCTAAATGAGAACTGTAATTTTACAGTTGCTTGTCGTGTGGTTGAAAACAGTCAGCTGTAGGCTTAGTTAACCCACAGTTCATTCCACTTGTAAATGTTATCCGGATCCTACCTTGTTTATTGTAATGTTGTATATTTCTACGGCTATATCTTGAGAAATATTCATCAGCGGTGAAAAATAATAGAATATTTGGATTCGGGAGGTAAAAAAATATAAAGTAAGATATCAAAATTAAAAATTTGTTTGAAGGCACCTAGGCCCCTATACAGAATAAATACGTATCGTTTGGTTACTTAGGTAGGTAAGGTTAACCTAACTAACCAAACAATATATCGAATTAAACAATCGAATAATTAATATTACTCATTCGGTTATTTGTGCCAACAGATATGGAAGTTTACCCACACAGGCTGCTATTCTTGTCTTAAGTACAGTAATTTAATTAGCCTACTGTTTTCTAGAAGCGGAGCGACACACATTGTTATTCGCTTTTCCGCAATCCGGGCCGAGAAAAACCTAGCTTAAGTTAAGGCCCAGAGATATAGGCTACCTACCTATCTAAGTTAAAGGCAAGAAGAAATTGATCTATATAAGGCCTAGGTCCTTAAGCTTAAGTTAATTGGACTGTAGAATAGGCCAAGGTAGGCCTAGGCTATTAGCCTACCTTTGATTGTACGCTACCTGAACACAAACGTTGTCAGTTTTGATAGGGTACACTCTTGTCAGTTTAAAATGGGCCAACACTTGAAAGATCATATCTCAACAATGACAATTAATTTTTAAACAACACAGTATATTATTCCTTCCTTGCCAATGGCCATGAATCCCTCAGATTTTCTTGGTTAATGCATCGAGCCTCTTTAACCTGGATCTAGTCTTTTAGTTGCGATTGACGACTGTAGTAACACAAACTACACTTCAAAGTGTAACCATAACACCCTAACTACTACAATTAATTACTTTATTACTATTTAACTAACGGTGTTAACATCAACATAAAACTCAGCTCAGCAGACAGCACCCAAAAACACGAACACACAATCACGAATCACAACACAATCAACAATCCAATCGACGACGACGACAGACGACGATAAACAAATTTTGAAAAAAAGTGACTCTTTTAAAAAAAAATAGTAATAATTAGGCTGATATTATTCAAGCCTACTGAACAAACAACCATAACAACAAGTAACTACCTAAATAATTTTATCGAATGTAAGTTAATAAATTTCGGTGGATATTTTTAAATCCGATATTTATTTCCACAGATAAATATTCTTTTAAATAGTTATAAGTTAGTGTAAAGCGTTCTTATGCGTAAAACTGTTTACTCCATGGATGAAAGAAATAATAGACAATTTTTTGGTCTCTTTGTCTAAAGCAAGAAGCAAAATAACAAAATTGTTGCTCGTAAAATGTAAACAAAAAAAAGAAGAAGAAGGTAGCTCCTAATGTTATTCTTATGGGGGAAAATTAAAATGGTTTTTTTAGGATTAAATAGTAATTACTGAACAAATATGCTCCAAAAACGATCCCCGGCATGATATTATACTATAGAATCTTTGTGCAAAACATCAAGTTGATAGATGTAATCGTTCTCGAGTTTTTGTAATCCATAGAGATGCTTTTCGTACCAGTATGAGAATTCACTTCGTTCATTCAATTATTGAATTATTTATTACAGTGTGACCAACTATTTTACAGGTCGCCGACGAGCTCAGCAAGATTCCAGGTCTGTCAAAGGTGCTGGTCGCAGAACACGCAGCTTTCAACGGGTTTCTCCCTGAGAGTCTGACACCGCTGATCCTTGCTACACAGAAACAGTTCAACTTCACGCACATCCTTGCCGGTGCAACGGCGTTCAGCAAGGGTTTGCTTCCTCGTGTTGCTGCTAAACTCGATGTCTCACCGATTTCTGATGTCATCGCCATCAAGGCCCCCGATACATTTGTGCGCCAGATCTATGCAGGTGAATTAATTTTGCGGAATAAAGTTTAAACCTTTTCAATAAACTGTATGAGTTAAGCTGTCAATTAGAGGCTGTAATGTACGGGTAACTCTGTAGTTGTAGTGCTTGCCTGACAAAAGGCAGCCGGTTTTGAGGTAAAGTCAGTAGCTTTTTGGTGGTTTGAAACTGAGCCCAGCTGTCCTTAATCTAGGGTTGTTATAAGGTTTTGAAATTTTCCAAAAATTGGATTTTTAAAGTTTACTAAAAAAATAAAAATGCCCAATTTTTATTAAAATCATCCTTTAGATAAAAAAATATTTGTTAAAGTTGACTTGTACCTTAAGCATTGTTGTAGGATTAAAGATTACGTATGTACATGTTTAGGATTCCTCAGTAAGCGTAGGACGTATATAGGCCTACACGCCGCAACAATTATGGTGATAATATTTGGGAAAATCAACTTTGACAATCAGATAGAAGTGGAAAAACATCAAAATTCAAATCAATTTAATTTACCCCGACATAATTATTGATCCCGTAACTTAGTCATTATAGTAGGGCTTCGCCCTGCCGCACCTGGGGAAGGGTTAAAAACCTGTATACAATTTAAATGACTACTTTCCTACTACTTCTACTTTCCTTGTTTATGGATATATTTTGATCAAATTTTGCAAATTGATTTATTATGTGCTATACACCTAACTAGGCCTAGGCCTATATTTCAAACAAACGCTGTTTCCTTCTCGATAGCAGAAAAAAGCAAACCTAGTTGAATTTAATGTTCAATTTAATTTGTTTTGAAATTTTCAATGTACAACATTCAATTAATTTTATATCATGGACAATTACTTAAAATTAAACTTCAGAAATGATAAATTAAATGTTAACAAAAACCATCTTCTTTTCTTTATTTCATCGAACAACAACACTCTTCTGCTCACCTTTTCCAGACCTTTTTTCTAGCATTTCAGTTGTCAAATCTTCCACTCCTAATTTATTCATTTCTTAAAAGTATTTATGACATAAACCAGTTTAACTTATAACAAGACTTAATTTTGTATAAGCATTTATGCAATTGATAAGATAACAGGTATACATTTAGCAACAAGCAAGTACGTTATAGCCTAAACAAACAACTTGTTGACAATGGAGGATTTAAAAATCTAGAGATACAAATATGAGCAACTATAAAAAAAAGTAAAGTTAAGTTAGTATAAAAGGCAAAAAAAATTTAATAACAAAACTGCCTAAAAGTGAGTTTGCATTGAATGTTATTTGAATAGCCTAGGGAATCAATCTGACAAGCTTAGCAAAATATTTGAGTCAAAATCCTAACGGTCAAATGGAAATTCGCTAAGTCTGCATGTTTGCTATTGTTGTAAATCCAACACAAGAGATTTCTGCATTCATTTGAACTATTTTCTATGGTAATTACGGATTGGTTTTGTCATTTGAGGAAGCAGATAAGAGAGTAGCCTCTGTGATAATAAGGTCAAGGTTTCCAATTGGGTTAATCTGTGAACCTGATGCTGAATGTAGTCTAAAGCAGCTATCAGTTTATTTCCAAACAAAGCAAAGCATTTTTTGCAGTAAGTTTGATCCATTGCACCACTGGCCTGTCAAACTAAAAATTATGATTTTCAGTGATTTTATTAATCGTTTCTAACTTGATGTTGTTGGATAGAGGATTTCAAATGCTAAGATCAAGTGTTCTTGACTCTTTTATAAAGCTATTTTTATTATTTCATAAATATGAAAATTCTTAAATAAACAGTTTTACTATGAATGGCCTATCACGAAAATACCACATTGCCTGTTTGCAAACAGGAACCAAATTGCAGCGAAAGCCACTTAGTTATCAGATTTCACCAGTTCAAGGAGAACTTCCTGGTTCTTGGTACATCTGATAGACTTGGTGGTTTTCTTCGTCAGAATCAGAATACTATTTATTCACCTAATGAAAAAACAAAAAACATTGCTATGCACTGGCAATTAAGTAAGATATTCTATTTTTATTTTTGGTATACACTTTTATTATTCATTGAAAGAACAAATTACCATATAAAATAATAGTTGTTAAGCGCAGCAACGCGCGCCGGGTAACTGCTAGTTTAATTATAAAATAGCATAAAGTTGTTGGGCTTAGAGGCGCTGTCGGTAGTGATGGTTATTACTATGAGGGTTGTTTAGTCCTCACTGGAACATCGGTGAAGTTCTCCAGTTTATGAACTCCTCAACTGTGTAGAATAGTTCTTCTCGTTCTCCTCGTCTCCTCTGATTTGATCTTGTTCTTAAGTTTACCTCCTTTATGCAAGTGTGCAAGATATGTCTCACATTTCTCGAGGGTCGCGACCAAAATGGTTATGCTCCAGTTCCAACTTTGTTTCTTGCTTATCCGAGCTGCTATTTAAACAAGCTATATTTTCAAGTGCATGGTGCAACAATGTGTATTGTCATTTAACAGCTGATTGATTTTGCTGAATTTTCAATTGTCAGATTGTAAAAAAAACAACACACAAAACAGTTTACAAAAATGGATTTTAAACAAGCTACTTTAATTGAAAATTCTAACCTCCTGAAATAGGGAAATCCAATCACTTTATGATATGAATCTGCGACTAAAATATACCATATTTGCTATATTACCTAGCAGTTCTATTTATCTAACTAGCTTGTTGTACCCGTTAAACTTTGTAAGTTTCTAATGGTAGTGAACATCATAGAACCCAACTTATTACTTTAGTTGAAAAAGATGTTAAATATGAATACTCATAAGGTAAAAATGAAAAATTCCAGAGCCACTGGGGCGTAGTCCGAAAGAACTTTCGAGATAATAATAGGCTTATGTTAATCAGGAATATTAGCTATCATAATGCCAAATTTCAGCCCAATACAACCAGTAGTTAATGCGTGATTGAACTTCAAACAAACAAACACATAATCTTTCACATTTATAATGTTAGTATGAAGTATGATAAATACATCATACAAACTTCGTAAGATACATTGTTGTAAAAACTACCACTTTTTCCTCTTTTCAGGTAACGCCATTATGACGCTTAAGTCCAAAGAAGCAGTGAAAGTATTGACGGTGAGAGGTACCAGTTTTGCCCCAGCAGATGAAACAGGTGGCTCCGCCAAGTCGGAGGCAGCCCCTGCTGGGGAATACGCAGCCAAGGGAGCCGAGTTTGTCAAACAAGAACTTACCAAGAGCGACCGACCAGAGCTGACTGCGGCCAAGGTCATCGTTAGTGGAGGTGAGCTTGTGTTCCTACAGGGTGTGTAGGCCTACAAACTCCCTAGATAGATTTTGTGTATTTCAACACTTGCAAGAAAGAAAGGAGCAAATAAATGTACTTACGCCCCTTTATTTTGCAAGCTACAATTTGTTCTGTAGGTCTTCTTAAAAACGAGTCATTCCACCAAAAATTATTAATTATAAATATAAATATTTGTTTTGTTAATTCTATCAATAATTCAACAATGCATGTTGAGAAAATTCCATATGACGACACTGCATTTTTTATTTTGAGGAAAATATTTGAATCTGTAGAAGGAAAGAAAGGGTAAACCGATTTTAGTGATTTGAGGTTTCACTTTAAAGCTTATGATCTAGCAAAGGGACAAAAATGGTAATCAAACGGGTTGCTTTTAGGACCTTGATTTTTTTATAGAAGAGCTTTTTCAACGGTCCAGTGCTGCTGACTAAAACTTTCCAAATTGTGATTTGACATAATAAGTAGACTCACTGGCCGCTTGTAGTCAAAAAAGTATGAAAATTGCGTCAAATACAGTAGGCTACTTTTATTGATAATCATAACCTATTTGAGATACGTAAATCACTCTTATTATTAATCTACAATCAACCAATTTCCTTATAAATTAGTAGCTCATCTATTTATTAGTTATTCATCAAATAACTGTCTTAATCAAACATAATGTTTAAAACGTATAAGAGTATTGTGTTATTTTAGTGATGTAAAATACCCAGGTATTTAAAACTCGGGGTAAATACCCTGGGTATTTACCCGGGTAAATACCCAAAATCCATAAATACCCGGGTATTTAGGGTATTTATGAAATCGATTGAAATTCATTTATATTTACCCATAAATATGTTATTGTTATCATTACATGATAAATTAGGATAGTCTATAACACCTTTTACAAACTTAAAGCTTTGGTAGTACCTTTTATTTAATTACTTGGCACTTTTTTTAAAATAATACATAAAGTTTCTAAATAAGCATGGGATTTCGTGTCTTAAATCAAGTTTAACTTATTAAAATATAGTATATTTAAAAAGGCTGTGGATATTTCAATTTTTATCATTTCATAAATTTATAACCAATTAAATAACATAAACAAAATTATTTAAATTTATTAATATCCAGGAATTGTTGGGTATTTAAGATGCAAAAATGTTTATTGTATAAATGGCTTGGAAGGCTAGACAGACCTAAGGCCTGATTGACATAGGCAGAATGGCAGAATACTAAAAGTAATTAAACTTTCTGTGTTACCCCTCAGTTGGAAACAAAAATATATTCGGATAAACCTACAAAAAAATGTATTTTCAGTTTTTTTGTTCTAACTTAATATAATTTTGAAGGATTTATTGTGCTATTGATCCAAATGTTTTGTATCACAAGTTTATGAAATTAGTTTTTTTTTCCATTGATACCAAACCAAAGATCTCTGAGAACATAAATATTTTTAAATCCTGCTATTCTACAGATTGAATTTTAATTATATTCTAAAGTTGTTTACACATAGGCCACCACTAGGTTAAATTTTCCTGTCTTTCTAAATAATAATTTTTACTTAGCAAATTATTTTTTTTCACTTTCAATAAAATAAATAAATTCATCCATCTATCATAGAAATTAAAAAATCATTAGTAGTCATTAGTAGTGCAACCATGCGATCAGGGTATTTATGCCGATTATGCTTTATGCTCAGACCTGGGTATTTATGACGATTATACCCAGAAGTAAAATAGGCCTACTAGTAGTGACCATATGAAATTTTGTTTAACACATTTTATCATCATTTTACCATCCTTACAGGGTAATGATTGCAAGAAAACATCTCAACATTATCTAACTTTAATAAAAATGATAAATACCCAGTTTATGGGTATTTACCCGGGCCTGGGGTAAATACCCGGGTAAAAAACCAATTTATATTTACCTACCCACTGGGTATTTACCCGGCCCACATCACTAGTTATTTGTTTTGGTTCTTTCTTTAACGTGTTCTAAACCCTATTGAAATGCTCAATTTGCACTTGGGTCTTATAAAATTACCAGAAAAAAAACCTTTTGATTCAGCATGTATGTAATAAAATGCGTTTGTATAGGGAGAGGCCTCAAGTCTGGAGATAACTTCAAGCTGTTGTACGCTCTTGCTGATAAGCTGGGTGCTGCTGTAGGAGCATCCCGAGCCGCTGTAGACGCGGGCTTTGTCCCCAACGATCTACAGATCGGCCAGACCGGCAAGATTGTGGCTCCCGTAAGTAGTTTGTGGCTCGCCAGTCGATGAATGAGCATGAAGTCTAGTGTTTTTACATTTTTTTTTTTTTACATTTATTTGTCATGAGAGCCGAAGCCCCCTGACTGCATACCCGGTACCTATCCGTTAGGACATACCCGGGCCCCATGATGTAGGCCGAAGCTTACGCATCAACCTTTAGCACATCATGGGCGGATGACTTAAGGTCATCAGGCTCGCCGGCTGCCGAAGCAGACCCTTCGGAAGGAGGGTTGCCCCTCAATCCTAACCAGGGATTCCGGCTGCATTTTTAAGCGTCACTCCACCTGGGTTCCACTAGGTCAGGACCTAGAGGTCCATGGTAGAGCGCCCCGACGCATTTAGTGCAAGCAACACTCGGGACCTATCTAATCCCTGACAGGCAGAACCCGCCATCGAAAGTCTAGTGTTTGGATGTAGAAAATGTGGAAGAGAAGAAGTGGTGGGAGTTCAGACCTTTTCTTATACATTTGGATGATGTTTTCCATGGTGTAGGCCAACTTCTTCAGCCTCACTTGAAGCAGTAATCAAAGTTATAGAAAATTAGCTTGCAGATCGTGGTGTGACTAAATGAGAGGGATTATTAAATTAATAGGGGAGATTTCTATAAGACCAGTAAGGACTACAGTCAGCCCTGGAAGTCTGAAACACAGTCTGGAAAATTCAATCACAGTCCCAACGCAGTTTCTGCAATCTTTTACGGAACCTAGAATACAAATAATAGTAACAACATAATAATAATAAGTATTCTTGTAAAAACTAAAAAAAGCTCTCATTAATATACTATTGATAAACATGGGAGGTAAGTATTTTCCCCCAAACCTTGCCATTTTAGATCCAATCGCCTGCTAACCTAGCATTATTCTGTATGGAATTGGGCAAAGGGCTGTAAAAAGTTAAATTGGTAATACAGTAATATAACGTTAAATTGGTCTGGTCTGTTGTAAAAAGAGTTTTCTTTCTTGCAGGAACTGTACATCGCTGTAGGAATATCTGGTGCCATTCAGCATTTGGCTGGTATGAAAGACTCCAAGACAATAGTAGCAATTAACAAAGATGCTGAGGCTCCGATCTTTCAAGTCTCGGACTACGGTTTGGTGGCAGACCTCTTCAAAGCTGTACCAGAGCTGACTGAGAAATTATAATATTTTATATAGTATAATCTTTAAATATAATATATGCTCCTGAACAGTTCCAAAAACACTATTAATTATGTTTCAAGTTTTACAAAATCAGGTGGAAAAGATATTTTACACACCGATAAAAATTATAAACCTTTTTTACTAACAATATATTTCATGTGAGGTTCATTTTTTTAGCGGTTTTACTTATTCTGTTGAGATTTATTTGGCTTTTACTTCTATTTCTACTTCATTTCGAGGGATTATTTGGACTGTTTTTACTTTTCTTCATTGCTATGTAAAATGCTTTATGTGCTAACTTATATTGCATGTCGTTGCTTGTAACTCGTGTATACATTGTTATTATTTTGTTTAGAGTTTGTCTAAGTCATCATTGAAAGTTTTTTTTCTATAATCGATGGACTGTATACATAGCAAAACATTTTCAATTGTTGAAATATATTTTTATAGATACTTGTTAATTGTTTTACTGATTTAAATTCCATTTCCCTTCTTCATAAGACAAAATGACAAAATATATGTGGGACAGTGAACAGTTTCAGTAGTAATGTAGATAAATTGTATTCCGGATGGTTATTAAATCATTGTTAAATTTTTTTGTAAGGGTTTAACTTATTGTGTATTATATTACCGATATTTATTTTTTAAGCACATATTTTAATAAAAAAAAATCATGAAATATTACATATCTATATGACATGTAATATAAAAATTTTTCTCCAAGTCAAGCCCACAAATTTGCCCTTGAGATTTGTTCAAACCCTTCATTGGGAAAGTTTGAATTTTAAAATATCTTGGTGGCACTGATATGATTCATGAACAATACCAAAGTCCTAAGCATCAAGGATATTGAGAAAATGCAATGTTTGAAAAATACAAAATGGCGACTCTGTGTAACCATTGACTTACAGACGATTTGAATGCGATATTTAAATTTGTCATGAACTCAGAAATAAATCCTCTTAATGGTTGGTAGAGATTTATACAGTATGTGCCAAAATAGTAGTGAAGATGAATAAAATATAACAATTATTGTAAATTTCACTGCTGTTTATTTTGGTGCATACTGTATGAATAAAATAAAATAAAAAACTAAAACTAGTATGGAATATCAACATACAACGATGCAGTGACTTGGATTCATCTTCAACTGACTTTGGTTACTATAGTCTGTTAACAAAATTTAAGCGGTTTAAGGGGAAGATTTCCTGGAATTACCCACCAATTAATTAGCTAAATTTAATAGTTGTGGCGGTTGTTTTATTGTTAGGGTGAAGTGGAGGTGAAGGAATCGCTTCCCCTCAAACCGCCTACATTTTTAGAACGGACTATAGATATCTATATGGACCGATATCTTCACATATATCTAGATATAATCTCTTACTTTGTGGTGAGATTGAAATCTAACTTCCTTGGACCGAGTAACTGACTTTTTGGGTGTGGTCTTAATTATTGTTTGTACATAAAGCTTATAGCCTCATGCAGCCTAGCAGGTGACTAAACTTGAAGGTCGGACTGTCTTCAGCCTTGGCCTCTTGTCCTCTTGTCGGTTGAACCTTTAGAGGATTTTACAATTTTACTATACAGCTAGAAGAGTATCTCCTGATGTTATCTGTAATTTTTCAACATAATATTAATCTTAACATGAACATTCAATTTTGTGTAAATAATCAAACTTTAGGTCTTCCAGTGGCCGAAAACTAAAAAAAATTTGTAATGTGGCCTACAGACTTCTCTATTTTCACCCGACGCCGTAAATAAAACATGTGATCAGAATTTCTTCAATTGGTTTCGATTTTCTGTTTATATTTCGGTGTTATTTTGTCACCAGCATAGCAACCCATAAGGACCATGTTGGGTTTTTAAAATTTTTAAACTCTTTTTTTGAGCCTATTTTAATTTATAAAGGGATTCTGCACATCTACAGGAAACTTTCTAACAGTATGAGTAAACTTTCCCTGCGATGCAAACGAGCTGAGAAAAGATTTTTCAAGAAACATGCTTGCCTATTATCATATAGATGTAAATTGAACCTTTGTGCTGCAAAAATATTTTTTTTTATCTTAAAATAAAATCTGTTTACAGTAACTAAAAGCCAAATGATTTGATACCACAATCACAAATTTGAGTCATTTTTTTATTTAATAATCTTCATAAATATATCGCAAGTCCCATGCCTTTCTTGAAATAAATAAGTTACACTTCGTAATGGAGAGTTAGGAGGGTAAAATGGACACAAGACTGTTATGGTGGTACTAAATGTGAAATACAAATCAAAAATGAAATTTGTGTAAAGAGGAAAATACTGAAAACATCACAAAATAATAACTTGAAATTGCAAACAACACTATCTTTAAACAAACAAAAGGTATATGTTAAATTTAGAAAGGTTAAATGACATTGGAATAAGTGTATATTAATTAAAATTGAGTATTGTGTTATTTTACTTTGTTCCAATTATTCTACAGGTAGTATGCTAATTGTTTGACACCCTCAACAGTCCTATCCTAACATATCTTTCTGTCACAACCTATTATTATTGATCATTCTGATTTTACCTAACATACAGTATAAACATAAAAAATATTTTGGTTCTTGTATCATGAGAAGTTTGTAAACCATACTTAAAATACTATACATAAACTAGCCTCTATACCCATATGTTTTATAAAGGGGCGAGAACTTGGAAGAGCAAATACTTAAATACTGTGTGAAATAGTTACACATCCATCATTGATTTTAGAAACAAAATTCAATTGTACCACATATTGTCCAAAATCGTTCAACGCCTAGCAATTAATTGTCTTTTCTCTTTCTCTGACCCCCTCCCCCGACCTCCCCCTCCTTGTGAGCGCCCATGTACAGATTACAACTGGGGATTTCAAAGATTACAACACCTAACACAAAACAACAATCCAGACCAGATGTAGGAGGAACTGTAGGTAAGATCAAGGTCAAGAGTGTAGGCAATATCGAATAGCCTTCAACTGGGAGGACATTGAACTGGCCTGAGTCTGACCAACACAGAAGCAGAATATTCCATAAAACTTGTTTTTTTTTTATTCTGATAAATTCACCTTAGAAGAGAGTGAATAACAAACAACTATACACAGTTCCTAAATATGTCAAAGTACCAGCACAAGTATAAATTTATGTTCAATTTTTAGGTTTATGTATTTAAAATTAAGTTTGCAAGACTACTGGTACTGTAAATCTTACTTTATGCATGCTACGTTTTTGCATCAAGTATTCGTCAATCTGTCATTGGACTTTAAATAAATGCAGGTACAGAAAAGCTGGCCTTTGTGTGCAAGTTTTTTCAAGTAATCTCGGTTACGAAACCAAACCTATGGTCCCAGTAACCAATATATTTATGTTATTGTTAATAAACCAAAATAATACATGAACATAGCATTCTTGAATAATGTGTGTGTTAACATTTAAAGTTAATAGTTGAACCCAGTTTCGAGAACTTTTTAATTTTATTTTGTTGTTTGCATATTGTGTTTTTGAAGTTAATTAATACAGTACACAACAAGGCAAACAGCAAAATGGTAACTTCGTTAATATTTTAAATAAATTAAAGCTTGCTTGAGATAATGTCTTTGAACTGATTGTTATAGACATTTTAAAATACAGGTTTCAGGTTGCCATTTACAGTTTGAGCACTACAATTATTTTGGACCCTGAGTTGATTGGCAGCCACGAAATGTAAGAAAACTTCCTTGCGAAATTAGAGTGTGGTAAAAACACTGACCTTCAATCAACAAAAATGTATGTGTGCATACAAATATAAAAATAAAGACACAATTCTGTATAATATTTTCTATTTTATATAATTAGTTCATACCGTTTGTTTTAATTAATAAGTGCATTCAGTTATTGTGTTTTTGGATAGTTTTAATTGTGTTGTAATCATATATAATATATATGATATATTATTTATTATTTTAATATATAATTTGGTATGGTATTAAAATGTATCATTTGATAATATATTAAAACAAATCATTATAATACATCAATTTTTACATATATCATTTGATATATTTATATCAAATTATTTATGTAACTAAATAGTAATTAAATATTGAGTAATAAAGGGGTAAATTTTCTTAAACCGTGTTCTCTCCCATAACATAACTGCAATAAGCATTTATACTTATATGCAAACCCCGTACGAAGTACGGGTACTCTGCTAGTTTTACATAATTCAATATACTGTATTTATTGTATACGTTTTTATATTTGATACATACATTTTTATAACAACAATCATGCACACAGGTTATTAATCAATCGCATTGGTTATTCCTGAATCAGTACAAGAAAAATGTAATCAATATTAAGTGTTCCTCATTTTCACATATTTATAAAACTTGTTTGATAAACAGGAAAATAATACTTTTTCTGTTGAATCCTTCCCTTACGTTTTATTGTGGTTTTTTCTGGAGTTGTTAAACAATTCTTTTCATCAAACAATTAACTGGAGAACAAGAACTAAAGTTCGGCCGCTTAGAAAACGACCTGTGCGCTAATGCTAAACCAATGCTGGAGGAGGTCGCTTTCTAAGCGGCCGAACTATAGTAAGTGTATGGTTTACAGCCAATCTTTTGTTAGTAACTGTAAGCTACACAGATAATCTCACTCCATGCTACACTCATCCTTCACTAATCTTTTGGTTAAAATACACACCTAGCTAGGTGGTGCTACCATCTCAATTGGTAATGTTATAATTTGTACTTACTACTTATCGCACATTAATACTTGGTTTAAAATACACTTGATTGCGACCTCGGACAGCAGAGTTTAAAACATGTGTTTTAAAAGCTTACAACAATCCTTTTATGTTGACAGCAGTTTTCATGTTTACAACAGATATATTATTTTCCACGAGCTGGAAAAATGTTTACGACACTTGATTTATGCTGTGTTTTCAATTGAGTTTTCAATTGAATGTTTACAACTTTTGTTGGCAACTAACGTTGTTTTGAACATTTTGCTGCAAACTCCAGGAACTGCTTTAATTGGTAATAATGCATGATCATAACAATAAATAAAGTGTAACGTATCACCTTTGGGCTTTGAATTCTCTAGATATTTTGTTAATACAATAATTGATTTTCATGCACATCCTGGACAGTTCCGGAGGGCGTTAGACGTCCTAGCCCGCTGCAAGGTCGGGCGGGGCGGAGACCTATATAAGGTTGGCCAGCGGACACCTAATGTATTGTAGTTCCCTTGTACCAAGTGGAAGACATCCCAGATCTATCAACATGCAGGTAAAAACTTTTGTTTGTAAAATAAATCCATATACAACAAAAATAGAAATTTATAAAATTTAATGGAATCTATATCAAGAAATAAGTCCATATGTTTTATTTATAACATCTGTCAGATGACTGTTTATATTATTATGTTTTGTTTACTTTTTATTTGAGTCTGAATTGTGAGTTCAATA